TCATCTTGTTGAACCCAAATGACTTGAGTTGTTCTTCGGAAACACCCCCCTCCTTCTGGAAGCTGGGGGGGGGTCAATGCAGAGTTATGGTTGGATTGCCTAGCAAGGGGGAAGGGAATGTTGGGGCCAAGCATTCTTTGTCTGGACTTCTAACCAAACCCCTGTCTACACTCACCAACTGGCCTGGTATTTCTGGCTTCTAGGACTGGGCATCCCAGGGCCGGGCAAGGAGAATTGGCTTGCTTCTTATCCTTCGCCTCTGCGGTGTGGGAAGCTCAGGGCTTCACACTTGTTCATTCGAGTTTCACACCCTCTTCCCTACTCCCCACTCCGAAGTTGATTTCATGTGCTTTTTGTATACTTAAGACTCACTTGGGGATCTATGAGAATCACCTGGGGATCTTGTTAAACTGTCGGTTCTGATTGAGTGTCTCTGAGTTGGAAAAGCACATTCATCTCAGGGAGTCCAGCTTGAATGAACCACGTTAAAGTTCTGGGCAATGATTCCCTCTTCAGATCGGGTTCCATCTGACTTAGGTTCTTCCCGAAGTTTATTACAATTGATTGTGTCTGTTGATGCCGCCTCTCCCTCTTATTTGGCCTAACAGGAGCCCTGGTGGCACAGTGATGACTCATTAGGCTGTTAATCAAAGGTCAGCGGTTCAAAACCACCAGTGGCTCATTGGGAGAAAGATGAGGCTTTCTACTCCTGTAAAGAGTTACAGTCCTGAAAACTCACAGGGTAGTGCCACCCTGCCCAACAGGGTCACCATGGATACGCATAGACTTGATGGGAATTAGATTTGTTTTGTGGGATGGGGCACTGGGAGAGGCCTTAATAGGTTAAAGAGGCTTAGTGGCACAAATGCTTAAGTGTGTTTGGGAGCTAACCAAAAGGCTGATGACTCAACCCTACTGAGTAACTTCATGGCAGAGAGTCCTGGTTATGTGCTCCCATACAGGTGAGAGTCTAGGAAATCCTCTGGAGCAGGTCTATTGCCAGAGGTGGCTTCTATCAGTTGTAATCATCTTAACAGCTCCTAACAGCCCCATCACCAATGGGCTAACAATTCTTTAACCCTTCATTTACCCTGGTGTTAAAGGAGTGTGGGGAGGAGAAGTTTTAAAAAATGTAATTGATTTGCCATTTCTAACTAGATGTCACCCCAGGTGGATTTATATATCTAATGATCTCAATACGGTATTCATTCTATTATAATCCTATTGAACACATGATGGTACTTATTTCTTTTGTGTTACATAAACTCAGCTATGTTGTTGTTATGTGCCATCAAGTGAGGGTTTGTGTGTGTGTGTGTGTGTGTGTGTGCAAAGTATTTTGTGTCATTATACTTCATAGAGACCCTTTGTAGAACAGAACAAAACACTGCCCAGTCTTGCACCATCCTCATAATTGTTTTTACACTTGAACTCATTGTTGCAGCCACTGTGGCAATCCACCTTGCTGAGGGTCTGCCTCTTGTTCACTGCCTCTCTCGTTTGCTAAGCATGACATGCTTCTCTAGGGCCTGGTCTCTAACAGCAGGATGGTGCATGATGCTGCTATCTTGTTCTCTCCGATGTTCTAGAGTCTTCATTGTGCTCTACACCTGCTCAAAGGGACTTTTGGAAATGCGGCCAAGCAACATTTTCCTCCAGTCTTCCCACTGTTCCCTCCTCCTTGGGACCCCTCTTCCCACAGAGGACGAAGCATTCCAATCCTCTCAAGGAGCATCATTTAGTGATGCGAATGGCCCTGAACCTTAGAACCTGAAATGTCTATGGCAGGTGACTCCCAGCGAGCAGTCCCTGTTTGAGTTGACTCTGGGGGACAGCTCATCTTGGGAAGAGTGACAAGGAGAGAGGACAAAAGAAAGAGGTCGAAAAAGGGAGGTTAATTTTCTGAAGATCAAGTCATTTGTGTTTCAGCAAGATGAACTGAATGTATGCATGCCTGTATTTGATCCAGAGTAATAGGGAAACAGTATAATGTAAGTAAGCACTGTGACCTCAGGATTTTAGGACCCAATAGACCCAAGTTTTACCTTTCTTGACCTTGTGATTCTAGGCAATTGTTTAGGACTTCTTCAACCTCAGTTTCTTCACTTGTAACCTACTGCTGTGAAGTAAATTCTGACTCATAGTGACCCTACAGGGCAAAGTAGACCTGTCCCCTAGGGTTTCCAATGTTGTCGATTCTTTATGGATTCAGATGACTGTATCTTCCTCCTGCACAGAAGCTGGTGACATTGAACTGCCCACCTTTTGTTTGACATCAGCGCACTTCCCCAGGGCACTACCAGGGCTCCACCACTCTTAAAATGGGAACAAGGAAAATAATGGATCTCTTGCCTATTTCCAAGTAATGCTCTGAAACTCAAATGAGATTATCTACAGGCCATGGCCTTATAAACTCTATCAAGTACAGAAAATGATATTTATTAGGATAAAGACTAGTAAATGAATGCATGAGCTAGGTAAAGGATACAGATGGCCATTATAGAGTGCAGAGAATCATTTTAAAATTAATAATACATCCAATGGAATAAAGCCAACATGGTTATATTCTCCTCTTTAGCTCTACCCAGACCTGTGGGCGCGCACTTGCATAGACGCAAAGCTGATTTACCATAAATATTGACTCTGGCATATGAGGACATACTTATAATTTTAAAAATACAATCTAAAATTCATCTCTTTTCTTCTAGTCTACACATTTTCCCCACCATTGGCTTGAAGTATGGGAACATGAAGTAGTTAAGTGCTTCCAACATAATAGTAACCCAGACCTTACTGGGCCAAGCACTTTATGTGTGCATTTTATGGAGGTGAACTTGACCTGACACTGTATCCCTATTTTAAAGATAAGACTATTGAGATACAAATGAGAACAATAATAATGTTTTGAGATCAAATGTCCAAAATTACTCTAACGCAATGATGAGGCAATAAGGAGACAGGGCAACAACCGGTACAACAAGAATGAAATTACAATTACGACACACTGTGAAAGAACTGGTGTGGAAATTGGTAAAGGAGTGCCTACTCAGCATCCCACTTTCACCTTGAACAACAAAGAGAAGAAACAAAGCAAACACAGAGGATGTCTTCTGCATTTTCCTGATAGGCAGACTTCTTCCACAACACTTTGTGTTGTTTGATTTGTTTTTGTTTTTGTTTCTTCCTCTTTCCCTTCAACATCCCCTTCCAACAGGAGGATGCCTCCTCCCTGATAATGCCCAGTATCTCATAAACAATGGGTTCCCAAACTTATTTGGCCAGCCGCCCTTCTTCAGAAAAAAAAAAAATTGCTCAGCAAGTAAAACTTCTGTGCTATAGATGATGATGGAGTATAAAGTGTAGGCATCTACTAGATCATTCCAGGCCCTGCTTCCAGGGAGCGTTATTGCCCAGTTTGGAAAACATTATCCAAAAAAAGATGTTTCTAAGGCATCTGCCTGATACTGGTGAAGCAATGAACAAGATGTCATCTTATTGTTTACCAACATGAGAACCCTAGGCTTGGACTCTTGTTTCCCCCCTTGCAGCCTCAATTACAGGTATCTGCAGGGCTGTGGGTGACACACACAGTTTGCACCCAGCTACAACCCCAAACTGGCAGCTCAAATTCATCCACTGATGCTGTGAAAGAAAGACCGGCGAACTGCCTCCTTAATGATCACAGCCAAAATAATAGTATCGAACTCAATTCTACTCCGCGGAGTAGACTGCTCTGTAGCGGGGACACATGCGTCCGAATGGGCTGCGTGACAACAGGCCTGGGCTTGGGTTTTGATTGCATGTGAATTCAATCTCATAGTGGTATCTGCAAAGTCTGCCAACTGGGCGTGCCAGAGGAGTCCAGCTGAGACCCATTATCTGTTTTGCAGAGAATGGTTCCAAGGTGCCAGGGCCCGACTGCAAACCCACAGCCACGGAGTCGATTCTGGCTCTTAGTGGCCCTATGCTGGCCCAGAGATGAACTGCCCCATACAGTGTCCCAAGTGCCGTCTTCACTGGACTGGAGCCGATGGCCATGTCTCCCTTGTACAAAGCCTATGGCTGAGTTCAAACTTAACCATTGCATCATCAGGGAGACAACTGAAGACTGAATTGACTTTAGAAAGCAAGGAAGTCTGGGAATGCCGATTAATATAAACCCCAAACCCAAACCCAAACCCAAACCCAAACCCAAACCCAAACCCAAACCCAAACCCAAAGGCAGTCCAGTCGATGCACACACCTATGGAGCAGGGTACAACTGACCCATGCGAGTCTCTGAGACTCTCACAGTGGAGAGCCTGAGTTTTCTCTTGCGGAGCGGCTGGCGCTTTTGAACTGCCCACCCTTCGGATGGCAGCCCAAGTCATAACCACTACGCCAAGGGGGCTCCTACCATTTAAGGCCCTTGCATTTAAAAAGCTAACTCCCATCCAGTCAGCTCTCCTTCCTAGAGATCCTGGCAGGGCGGAATGCAGCTGCTCCATAGGGTTACTGAGGCTGTAATCTTTCCAGAAGAATATAGCCTCCTCTTTCTCCCACATATTCATATTAGGACACCCTCATTTTTGAAATAGAGACTTATTTCCAGCTCCCCATCTCTGGGAGCTCCACTTGCCATCCCTCACTCTCTGCCTTCAGCTTCCTGAGGCTCCTGGGCATTCCAAGCAGTTCTCCCTGGGTGCCCTGGGCCCCTTGATTCAGAGATGGCAAAGACAAGCCCAGAGCAGGAAATGCATCCCTCTGAGTTCCCTGCCAGGGGCTGAAGCCCCACCGTGCGAGGAGAGGGTGTCCTCGAAAGGCCAGCGTGTTGCTTCTTCCTGCCGTTGACTCACCAGCAAGCTTCGCCCGAGGTGAGCCACTCACATCCGCGTTGGCCTGGGAGACACGCCTTCTTCTCACACAAACCTTCCAGATCCCAGCGTCTCCGGCCCACTCCTAGGGGTGGTGCCACATGCCCTGCCAGGCCCGGAGACCACACCAGGGCGACCGGTTGCAGACTCAGGGAGCTGTCCTCAGGTCCCCATGACCCTCCCTTGGAAGAGGCTGATCCCCTGCTGCTGCTGCTGCGGGCCCTGAAGCCCCGGAGTTCAAGGCCTCCGGAGAGGGGCCAGGACCCCTCTCTGCAACCTGACACCCCGCCTCAGCCGCCTGGGAACTTCGCGGGCTGGCTGGTGAGTGAGAGGCGGGCGGCGGGGACTGGCGCGCACTCCCCTCTGCGGGGGGAGGCAGGGAGACGCGGGGGCAAGCCGCAGGGCGGGGGAGGGGGCGCGCGAGGGGGGTGGGCGCGCGGCGGAGTCTTGGGTCAGGGAGGGAGACCCCCCCCTCTCCCCCAAAGGGCACAGATGCCAGCCCCAAACTCCTGCCAGGCTGTCCTTGTTTGGGTATTCGTCCAGCAAACAGCTGGTGAGGACAGAGGGGAGGGGAACACTAGGCAGGGCTCTGCGGATGTCCTTCCATCTCCAGCTCTAGCCAATAACCACAATAATAATAATAATAATAATAATAATAATAATAATAATAATAATAAGGAAGGTCCGCAGGGACACGACTGCTAATCCTCCTAACAATGCTGGTAAGGCGCAGGGACTTCGACAAATCAGGCATGTCTTTGCACGTCCTCAGGTGAAAGCCATTGAGAAATTAAAGAGAATTTTCTGCTTTCTTCTTCTTTCTTTTCTTTCTTTTTGCTGTGATTTCCTTTTCTGTGTGATCTGAGCCTTGCAGCAGCCAGAACGTGCGTGTGCGTGTGCGTGTGCGTGTGTATGCGCGCGCGCGTGTCTTATAGTCGAGGAGGCATAATAATTAGCACTTAAGGATTTTCCCACCTACCAAAGACCTAATTAAGCCCCAGACTGTCAGGAAAGAGGCAAAAGGACAATCGGTACAAGCCGAGGGGGCTTCCGAGGGGCAAGTTTGTGAGAACGCTCGTTCCAGGCATCACACCTGTGGCTTGTTTGCCGGCTCTTCATTTTGATATCTAAGATTTGAGAGTCTAAGCTCACGGTTTTTAAAAAATGGTAATTATTAAATTAAGTCCCAATTAATAACCTGTCATTTCTGAGATGTAAGCAACATAATTGTTACTTAATATGATATCACTCACTGCCACTGAGTAGATAATATAACCATAATTATTTCATACTGTTTTTTTAATGTACTCCTCTCGGCATTTAGTTACATGTACATATAAATATATACTTTGCATGCATTTATACATACACTGATATCTGTATATTTGTATATACTGATAAACACAAAAGGAGCCTTGGTGGCATAGTGGGTCATGTGTTGGCCTGCTAACCAAAAGGCCAGCAGTTTGACTCCAGCAGCCACTCCACAAGAGAAAGATAAGACTCTCCTCTTTCAAATACCTACAGTCTCTCAAATCCTAGGGATCAGCTCCGCTCTGTCCTATTGGGTCGCTCTGAGTCAGAATGGACTTCATGACAGTTTAATTTGTTTGGGTTTTATACACACACACATAAAAATGTATTTGTACTCACAGACCCTTTCTTTTTTACACAAATAGTGTGCATGTTATACATTTTTGCATGCCACACAACCTCTGGGTGTTAGTTTCATAGACAGGTTGATTCGTCTTCTGTTTCTTTTTGTGCTGAATGGATTTAATGGTGAGCTTTCGTCAGCACGGAGGTTTGGTTTACAGCAGCAGACCCGCACCGGCCTGCCCTTGAGTTTCTGAAGCAGCCCAACCCAGGTGGAGTTCCTTCCATGATCTTCCCACCACTTTCTTCAATGCAGGAAGAATTTACTTTTTCTGGCCCAGAAACAGTGGTTGCCAAGGTGGGTGCTCCTAACCCCAGAGGTGCTGGTGGATGAATCCCAGCATGTGCCTTTACAGCCACTCAAATGCTCTGCTGCACTCCTTCAGTGGGAATCTCCTTCCTGTGTGTGTGCCTGGGGATGGGAAGAAGAGTCTCACTTGAAGAGGGGTTGACACTTCCTTGCTTAAAAGAGACAGGTCCAAATGGCCACCCCAGGGTCTGGAGGGCCGGGGCAGTACACGCTCACATCTGCAACGTCCTGCCTCATCATTGCATGTGGGGCCAGAACCACAGGACCTTGGTGTCTGTAGACGATGGCCCTACAGTCTTAAGACTAGGCCATGCTTGGGCCATGCCATCCCCAATCACAGCTCTCTGCCACCCCCTTCCCTGGCCCTCCCTTCATGTGCAGGATGCTACACTGAGTACAGATCTGAGACAAGCAGCCCTACTATTCTCAAACCCCACTGTGAACCATCCCAGAGCAGACCCTCAGTTTCAGTCATTTGTTTTCTATTTATTGAGCAACTCCCAAACTTGATCCATGACTGCTTGTTGTTTTTAGTTGCTCATGAGCCTGTTGCAATTCATAATGACACTCATGTCCCTCAGAGCAGAACACCGCCCAGTTCCGGGCCATCCTTTACAACTGCTTTTATGTGCGAGGCCATTGTTGGCAGCCACTTGATCAATCCATTTTATCCAGGGCCTTCCTCTTTTATGCCGCTCCTTGACTTTCTCAGGCATCATGTCCTTGTTCACGGACTGGTCTCTCCTGGTAACAGGTCCAAAGTATGTGAGAAGAAGTCTCACCCTCCCTGCTTCTAAGGAACATTCAGCTATACTCCTTCCACGACAGAGGTTTCTTCTCTTGGTAGTCCCTAGTACTTTCGATAATTTTCCATGACTACTTGGTCATGGTTTATACCTGACCAAGTGTATTATTCAAATATATACTTTCTTTTCCATGCAAAAATACATACTTTCATGGTGTCTTATGCCAATATAACCTTTGAGGTCCAGTGAATGAAGCAGAATTTTATTTCTGGGAATGTCACAAGACATGCATGATGGATGCGTGTGCAAGATATGCCAGAATGTTGAAAACTAATTTGGTGGTTTCGACCCATTCTATGTGTGTGCACACTACTTACATTGGCGTGCTACTTTTGGAAAGTTCGATTCACACATTCTCAATAATGTATGCCATTATGTGTATGATTTTATAGTCCTAAACTTTGAAACATTGACAGAAAAAAGTGGACTTCAGCATTATATCCTCAAGCATTGCATTTTTTTGAATTCCCAACCTCCTATAAAATCCAAATCATAATGATCACGTGAGAGCCATATTTGCCTGTGTCATTACCCCCCAAGCAGTTAATTTTCATAGTTTCCCAGCATAATCCTCCACCCAGGTAGATGCTTATGGGTGATCAAGAGAGGGGCCAATGTTGATAGTTCAAGATTAATGAGTCTTCTGTTTAGGGACTGACTGTGGGCATCATAAAATGTTGCCATCCTTGCTTTCAAAAGGAAAACAAGACATTTCAAAAACTGGATGAGCCTGTTCTCAGAGTTGCCAAGACAGGATAAAGGGAATCTGACAAATAAAAAGCAGATCACGGTTCTCCTTTCTCCTCAGCCCTTCAGGAGCGGGCAGTTGTGTTCTTGTCAGGAAAGGAACCTTACTAAGCTCTACCTATTCCCTCCACTCCTTGGTGCACCGTGTAATACTGCTGGGATCTGCTGGTTCCAAGATTTCTTTTCACTAATTTACCTGCTGTTCTGGAAAAGTGAAAGGGGCCCAACAGTCCCGGGAGACTCAGAATGGAAACCTGCTCTTTTTCCACCTTCACGCTTGGGGATTTCTGATCATTTCCTTTGACCTTTCAATCCGGCGGAGCATGGAAGGTAGACCAGTCATTCACATGAAAACTCTCAACACAGGGAATCCAGTTTTGCAAGATGATTCATCAAAGATCTGGCAGGTTAACCAATAGTTCAACTCTTAAGCAAGTAATGATAGTATGCATCTATGAGAGAAAACAGTTGCTATGAAAACGGGCCACAAACAGGTGTTTCACGTGAAGGTCATGTGCTAGCGAGGCTGCTAAAGGAGACTGGTTTTTCACCCATGAGGGTTGGTAGTCCAAGGGGGGCAGAGGGAGGCGGGGGTGTCTCACATTGTTATATATTAGCAGGGAGCTGTAACATCACTCAGCATAATTAACAAACCTGTTGTTAGCCCCATAGAGAGTGGAAGATCTTGCGTTATTTCACACCTTTTGCAATCGTCATTCATCTTCTCCAAAGGTTAGATTTCTCTCATCTCTCTTGGGGATTCCTTGAATGAGAGAAGCATCTTTAGGTTACCAGCAATTTAAAAACCAGTCAAAAGATTTTCATTCAGTTTAGTCTTTTAAACCTACCAACAGCCGTATATACTCGTGCATAAGCCGGGTTTTTCAGCATAGTTTTAAATGCAGTTTTTGCGGTAAAATTAGATGCCTCGGCTGATATTCGGGTCGGCTTATACTCTAATATGTATAGTATTTAATTGACTGCAGCAGATAATACATTAAATCGCTCATTTATTTCTTCAGCAGGTATTTAGTGAGAGTGTCAAGTGTTCTTTTAGACACTGGGATGTGCAGAAGTGAAGAAAAACAGACTAAACTCTGCCCTCACAGAGCTTGCGTCGTTCTGGGGAGAGAGTCAGCAGGATCACTAACAGTTCACTGCCATCTAGTAGACAGTGTCTCATAGTGACGCTAGACAAGTTAACTTGATGGTATAGCAGAGGTTAAATGCTCAAGGGAAAATACAAAGTAGAGGAGGGACATGGAAATTGTTTGCAGTTGTAGATGAGATGCGATGTCTAGGGAGCCTTCCCAGGAGCCCCTATGTGAAACATGATTTGAAGGAAGTGAGAGAATGAGCAGAGGAGCCCCGGTGGAGCAGTGACTATGATCTGGGTTGCTAACCGCAAGGTCCCCAGTCCGAAACCATGAGTGACTCCAGGGGAAAAGACACTCCTATAAAGGGTCACAGACTTGAAAACCCACAGGAGCAGTTCTACCCTGTCCTGCAGGGTCACTATGAATTGGCAACAACTCAATGACATTGAGTTGTGTGTTGTGGTTTTGGGGGAATGAGCCAGTTGTCTATAAGAAGGAAGGCCATTCCAGACTGAACACCAAGGGGGTGTGTACTGGACATCCTTTAGACAAAGAATGGCGTACAGAGACTGATTGGGAGAGTAGCAGGAAATTGGGTCGGCGGTAATGGGGCCAGATCACAGGGGGCTTTGAGGGTCAAAAATAAACATGTTGACCTTTGATTTCTATTCTGAGTGAAATAAGGCGACACTGCACTTAAGCTAC